GATATATGTGTATGTGTATATTTGACACAACGATTTTTGGTAATTTTGAAATGTTAACAACTTTAATTAATTTTAACTAAATCTTTAGATTTATACAAAGTTGTTAATAAAGCCTTATAAAAAGAATCAAATGAAAGAATACATATTAGAGAATTAATGGGTAGATAGAGCTCACCCCTTATACAGGAGATTCAGTTTGGGAATCTGAATCATTCAAAATAAAATTGAATGATGTAGATTTAACATAATTTTATTTTTATGTTTTAAATAATTTTATATTTTTATCTGTGAAAAAATTTAAAATACAAATAACATCTTAATTATTCACATTTTCAAGAAAATGATTTTTTACTTGCTTAAAAATCATTGGTTAAAAAATTATAAATCTAAATTGTTGAAACTACAATTATACATATATAATGTCATTGCAATGATGAGTATAATGGTGATCATTCCTGCAATAAGCACTTTAAACTGGTTCCTATTACAAGTGTCCTGAAAAAAATTGTGAGCAAACATTTGGGATATCCAGCTACAAAAATTAGCTTGGTTTTCAGTCTCTCTTGTTAATTTTGCCTCCTCCTATTTTGTATTTTTCTGAAATTTCAGAAAAAGGGAATGATAGATCATCAATATTTTAAAACCTGGATAACCGTTCATAGACAGTTCTCATAATCCAATTGATGCATAAAAGGTCACCGACAAAAGCTAGAATAAATAGTAACTTGCCAGTATATGAGTGAGTTTTGGTAATTAAGAGTAAATGTTAATTAATTTATACTAGCAAGATTTTTATGAAATAAATAAACAATAATTAGATTTAGGAGAACTCCCATCTATGTTGGAATGGTAGTTGTAAATCGATGTATTAGATTTGTGGAGGTAGATATAACATTTTGAAATTGAGTGAATTTTGCAAGGTAAGAGTGAAAGTAGAAGGTATATAACTAACTCACTAGCAAGATTGTTATAAGATGAGTCCAAGTAGATGAATTTACGAAGAGATCTTATCTGAGGTGGAATGGCACCTATCAAACCCCCTCCTTTGAGTATCAAATATTGTAGGTTGGGAAATGCAGTGAGGTTGAGATCTTCTAGCTGAGAGTGCTGTGGAGTGATCCGTGGTTGATTCATCATGGCAACGCTTCTAAAATCATTGCAATATATCTCTTCCTAGTAACAACGGTCTGAGAAGTTGTGGGACTATCACTAAAATTCCACCATTTGGTGTAAAGCAGAGCAAATTTCTCCTCTTCTATCATATTAATCTGTTGGGAGAAAGCTGTATCAAAGCATAATAGAAGTACCCATATCATTACACCCATCTTTCATTAATTTTGTTTGCATAAAGTGATTATCATAGAAAATGAATGCAGCCACAGAGTCTTTATATGGACAAAAGCTTAACTGGCCGCCTTATTGGGATGAAATGATCATTCTCAACCGTCCAAGTCAACACTAAAGTCTTCATTACTTCACTTGTACTCAGAGAACAAAAAACTAGACCGAACCGGCCGGTTCAATCGATTTAATTTGGATGTTAAACCTGTGGAGAGTTGAACCGGTAGCAAACCGGTCAAACCAGAGTGAACCGATAATAAACTGGTTTGGATGATTATGTTATTATTGGTCTTATTTTTTCTCATTCAGCTTCTAATATCTCACCCCCTATAGATTTAACAAAAAATTACACACAAGTCTCACAAAAGACAATTAATTCAGAAAAAGTTCCTCAAAATCTCCAAATATTTTCCAAGTCCCCAAGGACCTGCGTGTAATAAATTGTAGTTGTGATATTACCTACTTACCCCCATTAATTTACCACCTCAACAGTAGCTGTCGACAACCCGAGGAGAAGCGGTTAACAACCTCGGCAGTGCCCTTGACAATTCAACCACAAGGTTGTTAGGAGCACTGCCGAGGTTGTTAACCGCTTTTTTTAGTGTTGTCAACAGCCACCGTTGAGATTGTAAATGAATTGCGTTGGGCTCAATTAATGGGGGTAAGTAGGTAATATCACAATTACAATTTATTACACACAGATCCCTGGGGACTTAGGAAACATTTGGAAATTTTGAGGGACTTTTTCTGAATTAATATCTTCTGTGGGACTTGTGTGTAATTTTTCCTAGATTTAAATGAATTTTAATGATGATTTTGTTATCAATGATTATTAATTTTAATTAATGATAAACCATAAAAATCAAAATTCTTAGTGTTGTTATACTTTATTATTATTATAATCAAACTATTGTTATATTTCGATATATTTTGTTATTAGTGATTATTAATGTTGTCATATTTTGTTATTTTTAATTCAATTATATTATTTTAATATGACCAGTTAGATCCCGAGTTGCGCTCAGTTTGACCAACTAATCCTTGAACTACCTCAACTGGTTTAATATTCGGTGGTTTTACCCAAATTATAGAAATATCTCCTTTATTTTAAGAATGTATGCAAACTTTTCTTGAAATTAAAACGTATGTCACACAAACTGTCTTTATATATTTGAGATTTTATTTCTATCTATCCAACTAATAGTTGACCATTAAGATTGAATTTTAAAGTTTTATTTTGATCAAAATATCCCCTCTTAACATAATATTTTTTGAACATTTATATCCATAAAAAATAATTTTTGATGCAAATAATTATAATACATATATTTTCAAATTTTTTAATTTTAATTCTTCATAACATATTGAAACTCATTTATTTTGGTTTCTTTTAAAAAGGCTAAAAAATTATTTTAAATGCATACTTTTTTTATCATATAATATTTTCGGACATTATATAAATAATTTAAACTTATAATTTAAAATTTTTAAAAAATTTTGTTGCAAACATTTACAACTTATTTGATTGATTATACATTTATTTACAGAATTAATTAAATTTCCATTCAATTTTTTTATGTTTACATTAACTAAATTACTTAATTTCCTTCAATTAGAGGTGGGATCCAATTTTCTTGTGTGTTAAATTCCCAAATAGTCCGTTCATCTTCTTCTTCATCAACAGCATCGTGTTCATCTTTTCTTGTTTACTCCTTTGGGTCTTCACTTCCAAAGTTGTGGCTTGCTAATCGATGGCCCATTCTTGCTCATCTTCTCCCTCCATTGTCATCTTTAACCTATATTTGGTAAAAAGAACTCAATGCAGTGGTTGAGTCCTTTTTTATCGTCGTTGTCACTCGTCGGCCTCTTTACTCTTGATTGATGGCTCTTTCTTCATCATCATCAATGGCTTTTTCTTCGTTCTCTTATTGGTTTCTTAATTTTGTAAAGTATTCGTTTAGTCTCATAACCCTAACACAATCAACTTTAAATGATTTTTTGTGGCAACCATTGTTGTTCTTCAAAATTAAACGTAATACGTGAGCACGTGATAATGTTCTTTCAAAATAAAATTTTCAGTAAATTTAAAGGATCAGAGATGCAAGTTTGCCTAATAAAAAATAGTATTTGAAATAATTTGAATTGTAATTACTGTTATTCAAAGTTATAGAATGACAATTCAGACAACTCTTCATCATTAGTTAATGAAAGATTGATAACCAAAAGTAGCATGAAAGCCAATTTAGGAAGGTTGTTATTCTAATGAGGAAAGCTGAGCGAGTTTATTTCCCATTATAAAAAATAGTAGAATAAGAAAACAAACATGTTTGCCCTTTTTTATTTTTTTTATTTTTTTGGCCAGCGTTGCACTTTTTTTTTCTTTAAATAGATGTTTGGTTTACTTAAAAAATACTTTTAAAAAGTACTTTTATGCAAGACAATATGAAATTCTTCTCACATGTTTATGTGATATACTGTATTAGTTTTTACCGAAACACTTTATTAATCAATGTGGTGGGCTCATTCACATGACGTTTCAATATATTATCTATTTTGCTGCTTTTTTTAATCAAAAAATCTATTTTGCTGCTTTTTATTTTGATAGCATAATTACACAATTTTACACCCTTTTTTTTTCAGATTTAAAGGCCCCCTCTTTTATACAAGGCGCCGTCGACATCAAGGCCGTCTCCTCAAAACAAATGGACATAAACATGACGCGTGTGATGAGAAGACTTGATTTATTGATATTTTTATTTATTTTTTTTTTTTACTAAAATTATTTTAGTTAATTTTAAAATTTTAAAATCTTCAAGTAGTTTTAGGCAATTTTTTTAATTGAAATCATTTGTCACATGCTTATTTTTAACACCATTAAGCCATATCCACACAGTTAATTATTAACAAAAGGAGTTTAAACTACAAGCATCCAAATCCTAATAGATAAACTTTAACGACCTTAACTAAGTTTACTGAGTTTATATTTTTCCCTAAAGCTTAGCTATCCTCTTCTTAGAGATAATCCTATTCGAGACACTATTGAGCATTAAATGTGGGCACTTCTGGTAACAGAGATTCAAAAATTGGTTCGCTATATTAATTATGAACTAACCCCTTTCACTTGACTCAATTCCTATTACTAAGTTTAATCGAAAACTAAGAGGAGTAGTTTCTTTTTTTTCCCCCTTCATACCATGTTGTTAATGAAGTCTTATAAAAAGAATGGGCTATCAAAAGCACAATAACTCAGCCACCAAATTAGCTTAATATTTTACTATTTGTTCGGTAATGGTGATGTCAACAATAATTTTTTATCATAATTTACGGAATATAAAATACGTATATGAAGAGAGTTTTATCCCAGTTTATATGAACATATTTATAAGTACTTAATATAAACAGCTCCAAACAAGACATTAGTCTATTCTTCCGATCTTTTCGCATCCTGCTATTTTGTGTTTTTCTACTTTCGTATATTTTCTTATTCTTAACACAGTTTTGGTTTTCACCAAAAACCTCCCCAGATGCTAGACAAAGTTAAAGATTGTTTTTGTTGTTGCTATTGGTGGCTCCTCCTCCTAAATCCTTCATAATCATATTACACACATGTGCGCGCGCGCACACATATATTCGCGTGCCTAAAGTGTCAAATGTGTCACAATTTGGCAATTTCCACGCCATTTGAGTATTATATTTTTCTTAATCAGTTATGTGCAATGTAGGTTTATTGAATTATTATTAGAGTTTTTATTTGATGCTTCTACGTACAGATTCCATATAATGCCTGAAAGGTTGGAGGCATTCCACCAGTCACCCTAAAGCAGAGCATGTTTCTGTTTCTCCTCAGCTATCATGGGCACAGGGGTAGCAATAATGGGGAAGAAAGAAGTGGCATGACGTAATAGTAATATCACAGTGCTTGATGTTTGAGCAGCGCATATGATATTAGAGAGGTTTAGTCTTTGTATAGGAAAATAATTTAATTTTTATTAAAAATACTCATCTAATAAAAAAAGTTAGTTATTTTACAAATTAATTATTTAATTTATATTTCAGTTATTTTACAAATTAATTATTTAATCTCTATGTTTAGAAGAAATATAAATTTTTAAGGAGTTAATGTGTAAATTTGTCTCGTAAGTTTTAACTCAAGAGTGCTAAGCATCTAAAAGTTTTTTTTTATTACAAATTTATCCTGAAAGTTTAAAATCGTAACAAATTTGTTCCCTGCTGTTAAAAATATTAACAGTCAATATTACCATTTAACCAATCAACATTAGTTTTTTAATAATAAAGGGAAAAGTTGCTATGATTTTATACTTTCCGGGAAAATTTATACCCAAAAAAAAAAAGACTTTTGAGTGCTTAGCACTTATAAGTGAAAACTCATGGAACAAATTTGTACCTTATATGACTCTACCAACACTACTAGAAAAAAAAACCTTTGACGGTAGTTAAAATGAGCTTTCTATAGCAGTTTTGGAAGTGCAGTGAATTCCATTGATCTTGTAAGGAGAATATTACACGGCAGTTTATAAAAAAATGTTTTTAATGGCGGTTAAACAAATAACCACCGTTAAAAATTGCATCTTTTTTTTCACATTCTGTGTGAATTTGCTATACAACCTCCCTACAATTTACAGAGCCAAATACAACCAACAGAGTAGAGAATATGCAAAATCATTTCAAGATGTTTATCCTAACACTAACATCTAATTCTTATTCAATCACCTGCACATTATAATTAACAGCTACTCAACTAGTTAATAATAAAAAATGAACTAAAATGTGATGAATGACTAATGTGATGAATGACTTAACTATTTCATACTTTAAAACTTCTTAAGCAATGTTGTTGATAGAGTATCCCTTATCAAGTTGATTTCCTCGGTGTCATATGGCGCACTATCTTGGAATGCCTGTAACTTGAAAATAACATAGTCAACTTGATAAAAAAATGTAAAAAGAATTGAAGAATTTCATGCAATGTGATTAACCTATATTTACCTCGTGTAACTTCTCAATAACCCCTGTCTCAATGATGTCATTCATATAATGGATGACATAATATCCGCATTCATCACTCCTGGATTGACAACGGTACTAACAAAATGAAATATAAAATTGAATATCTAACTTTGATTATCCAAGAAAAATTTATAAACATTAACTCTGGCTATTGAAAAAATTTATAAGCATATACTTAGCTCAAAATAACATACTTGTAGGAGAATCCATCTTACTAGTGGCTTATGTTTCCCGTTGGCCACAACATTGAAACTATAGAAAGCCCTATTAACAATCAAAATAAAATGATATTAGAGCATGTTTTAATAAACTTTACATGTACTAAATATATAAACATAAACTCATGTGTCAGTAACATCTCTGGTTTCTTTTTGTGGACCTCCACGCAGGGAATCAAATTATGTTAGGGTCCAATAATAACTGTAAAATACGAATCATGTTAATTATAATCTTGTATATATAACTTGTGTATCTCAAATACAATAATATGCTTACCCTTCCACGTAAAGTGCAAAATATAATTTCTTTTTCGTCCGAGTTATTGTGGTCATCATGTACATCGACTCACTTCCACAGTATTTACTAGTTTTTGCACCTTTTGAGGACACAAAAAGCCATATGTGCCCTCAAGTCCTCTATGTCGACAAACGCGAGTGAAGTGCCTGGTGTTCAAATAATACACATTAGGACATATATAAGTATAACATGAAATAAAAAAAAATGATATTGTAACTTACAAAATAGCCAGCTACATGAAAACTATATCTAGCTCTTTAAAGTGAAGGAACTGAATGAGGTCCTTTTTATTAATGGTGAAGTTGTATATCATATCTAAACCTACAATCCCCAGCGGTATGTTGAAAGTAAAAGGGTTCTCCATATTTTCTATCATGGAATAAAGGAGTGCCAAACTTCCATGCACTAGAGGACAGGATATGCACTCTTTGTCACCTTCTTCACGGCTACTAGCTTTCCAACAAATCTCTTTGGCCACAAAATAAAATTTTCTTTAGCCTGAGCCAGTAGTCAAACCTTATCAGTAGGGTTGGGCATTGGTGTACCATCATGACCACTACGAATCTTATCTACTTTCACCCTTGATTGTTCGAAACTTTCTTGTCGTCGATCGTTGTGCCTGAGAATGCTCAACCATTAGTAATATGAAGAGATGAATCTTCAAAATCCACATAGAGAGCAAACGGCAGTCCATTATCTTAGGCAGGGCCAGGGCTAGGGTCAGTGCCAGACACTGTCTGCTATTTTGTCACATCCCACCAAATTTGACCTTGAGAATATGAATAATAAATTAGATAGAGGTTCAAATAGCAAAGTTGACTCATAGGTGAAACAACTTTTGAGTTAAACTCTGAACCTTGTCCAAACTAATATTTTAAAAATTATTGGTCTATGAAGGGTAAAATGAAAAAAATTAGAGAAAATTCTAGAAAATTCTCAAAAAATAGTAAAAAGATGAATTAGAGGTTTTAGAACCCTATGTGAAACCTAAAGGTAGAAATGGCATGAAAATAAATTATTACAGAATTTTCTATAAATAGAGGTTTTTTTGGAAAAAAAAATAGTGAAAAATTAGCCCGAAACAATTATTTTAAATATGTAGATGTCTCAATAATTCAAAAAAATGAAAAAATTATTTAAATATTTATTGGATTTTATAAAATTGTTTCTAGGCCTTAGAGGTAAGAGAATTAATTTTAGAACATTTAATTACTGAAATATTATCGGCAATGCCCTATTTTAGAGAAAATTCAAAATAAATATTTAGGGGTTGAAATAAATTTCAAAATTTTTTAAGGGGCTTTCCTATATTAGAAAGGAGTTTTTGATAGAGAAAAATAAATTTTTAGAGGCTCAGAACTATTTTTGAAAATAGTAACCAAAATAGTGAGTTTTAGTCAAAAATTGATATTTATGAGTGGGCCCCATTTTTTTTTTTCTTTTTAAATCAGACTTGGGGTTCATATTGGGTCAAGAAGATCAAAAAATTTGTGCAAATAATGGCCTAACAATTAAGGAGTCTTAAGCCCCAATGAAGTCAAAATATCAATGGAAAAAGCAAGCAAAGGGACACTTGGACAAATAAGAAAAATTAAAGCATTTGATGGTAGTCATATGGCCATTTTTGCTAGCCAATTTTTTTCCATGAGTGAGGAGAGGGAGTTCAGATTTTTGGCTTATAAATATCCCCTCATTTCATACATAATTAAGCCAAACAGGGAAAAATAGGGGGAAATTATGCCAGAATAAAACTCAACTCCAAATAGCTCCTAATACCCTCCAAATCCAAGAAAAATTATCGAACTTGAAGTTAGGATCTATTAAGGTATGTATAAACTTGGTTTTGGTTGGATTTATGGGTTGTTTTGATTGAAATTCCATAATAAAATCCCAAGGTTCTATGCTGTGATTTTCAATAAGTTTAGGGATGGATTAGGGAAGGATAGAAATTATAAATATGAGCTTAAACTTTTATGTTTAATTGATATTTGGATTGAATTTTGAAAGAAATCAAGTTAGCATTTATATAGCCCCTATTTGGCCACTATGGTTTCCTAGGGTAGGAGTTTGTTTTAATGTGATTTGATAATTCCAATAAGTTTAGAAGGTGTTTTTGTGTGGGGAAACACCAATAAAAAGCATTTAAAATCATTAGAATCAAAAATAAAAATTTTGGAACATAAATCCTACCTATTCAACCAAAGTGAATTGAAAGGGAAGGAGTGTGATTTTGTTAAATCTGAATTAATATTTGGATTCTAAATAAAAAAAAATTGTATAGAAATGAGCTAAGAGATTGATAGAATTAAAGGAGGAATAATTATGTCAAAAATCAAGAAAAAGAGGATTTAATTAGGTTTAAGGTTAAGTACTTGTGATCAAATTGAGTGGTTGATAATATGGCTTGTAATTATACTTGGATTGATGGGTTTTGTGGAGAAGAACCAAGGAAAATACCAAACCCTTAAGAAGGCCAAATTGAACCAAGTATAAAAAGTAGCATTCAATCTAATTTGATTATTTTTCTTGCTTACTTAATGTGTACGTGTTGATTGCTTTGTTTTGCTATGAAATGATTGATTTATACTATGGCACGGAATGTTCTTCAATGCTTGACATGCTTTAGCCAAATGCATATTGATATAAAATGTGAATAGGTGCTAATTTCCTTGATGGAATAATATATTATTCATGAAATTGGGAATGGTTATTATGCATTGTGAAATGTCACATTATGTAAAGCATGATTCACATGATAATTATGGTTCATTGTTACTGAGATTTTCATGAAATCTCATTCTTTTATATTCAAATATTGACCAACTAGGGGTTGGATCAAGTAAGGAGAAAGAAAAGGGATTCATCTTGGAAGATAGTTGAGCTTAATGCCATTGAAGTTATGTTTTATAATTACTATGTATTGTTATGTATATTATGAATTATGTTGGAATATTGTATTAACGATCAAGGATGCTTTATATGTGAGCAATTAATTTAAGAACCATGTTTAAGTATGTGATGTGTGATTGGAAGGATTATATGGATTGGATAGAGGAGAAAAAAAGACCAAGAATTGAATGAAAAGAGATAAAAATTGACTTTTTAAGGGCTAACAAAATT